AGATCAACCAGATTCAAAATCATTATGTGGGGAAAAGAGGCCCACTGAAATTTCATACAAAGGAAACTGAAACTGTTGGCAGCAGGCACTACAGCCTTGTCTTGGAATACAGACAGAACACAGATTTTACAGGTCAGTTTTACACTGTTGTGGAAGGATCAGGACGGAAGTGATTTTTACTACTGTTATTACCAGAATCCAATTCCTGGGTTGAAACAGAAGACGCAAGTCCTGTGCCACAAACTGTCATCATGTAGTTTGTGCTCCTTTATTCATGAAGTGCCACAGCTCAGCTATTTTAATCATTTCCTTTCAGGCATAACCACTGGCTCTTTTCTTCAGCTGACTATTCTTGCAGTCTGTCTTCCCAGGTGCCCAAAATCTTCCTTTCACCCCTTGTAAAGCTGAGACTACTGCTCATACCATACCCAGCAGTTTCTGTTTTATTCCTCTCTCCTACACTTTTCTATGGCCATTAATACTTCTGCACTTGTTTTCACATGTCTAAATCCAGTACATCATTTGAAAGAGACAAACATGTGAAAACTCTCTGCATCAAAATCTGACATAAATTCACAGGTACACAAACCAGATGATTTGCTGATTCAGATCTATTTAACTCTTTCAAAATGAATGATCTAATACATTGTATAAAAACATATAAGACAAAGATTAAGAAGAAAAAAAAATGGCAATTCATGTAACTTTTAGTTTATGGCTATATCAGAGGCTCCTACTCTAGTGGGGGTTATGGAGAACTGTGAACTCTATCTTGGCATAAATGTGCTTGGGTCTCCTGTGCTTGCACCCCTGAGCAGCTTGCTTTAGAAATCTGATTGCTCTTACCTTCCATAACAAGAGCATAAAGAAAGAAAAAAAAAAAGGAGGGGGTGGAAGGGTAGGAGGGTTAATTCATCAGTATAACATGAACATGTGCATACACATAATTAAATTATATAGGCAAGAAATTTAACCAATACTGTAACTAGTGTTATTATACCAGTAGATACGCCTAACAGAGAAAGTTTTCAATGTTTCCACCAACACTCATTTGGTCTCTTAAAACCAACCAAGCTCAGACAAAAATTTCCTTACTAACTATTGAGTGATTTTTCACAGGTCATTTTTCAGAAACAATCATTTGGGATTATAGCTTAATCTAGTCACAACAAAAAAAATACTGAGCAATGAGAATAGTTTATATAAGAATTAGGAAAAAAAAAGAACAGATTTGGAAAATATTAGCAAAGGATTTACACAACTTTAAACCAATGTAAATGAAATCCAGAGAAGAAAAAGAAACTTTGGTCTCTTTTATAATATAAAAATAAGATTTCCAAAAAATACAGAACATAAGAAATCTCAGTAGGAATAAAAAAAAAAAATCTGTAACTTAAATCAATCAAAAAAGAAAAACCAGAAATACTATGTGACTAAAATAAAGAGAAACAAAAGACAGTACATTGTTTTGCAGATGTACATACTCTTGCACTTTTATATTTGATTAAAGGAATACCAGAGTAAGTTTCCCTGTTATGATATTATTCATCCGTTCACTTCATACATTACCCATTCAGGCATAATCAGTGCTAGATGTTGTAATTTTCAACAAGTACAGTATAAACATTAAACACCACTGTTTGAAAATAGTCAAGATAAACAAATCAGTAAAGCTCAATCACATGTGTAAACTACAAAATTCAGAACACTAGTTTACAAAACTCAGTATTATTTTGCTACCTGGCCCTTAGATTGAAACTGTTAAGGAGACAGAGTGATAATTATCTACCTGTAAACTACACTGTGATCTACAGTGTATGAGTCTCAGGAATGTGCACAGAAATACCTATTCACCCAGAAATGCATATAAATTACAATTTAAGTTTCATATTTTCTAACTTGAAAAGCACATGTTCAACTGTAAATCTGAATTAGTTTTACAGTTATACAGACAATATTTAGATGGGCTCATTGCAACAACTGACTTTCATTGCTCCACCACAGCTTGGCAAGCCACAAGATGCTTAGACACTGAGGAAGTGGTAAAAACTCTTTTGAAGAACAATGCGTTCTGAAGTATTCAGTCAGGCAGTATCTTGCAGATGAACAGACACTGTATTTCAGAAGTATCAATTCTTCCCAAAAGTAAATCGTAGCATCTCTTACTATCACTCAGTTTTAAAGTTGAAACAACACACTATGCACCCACTATTCATCCAACATCGCTTATATCTAACAGAGAGCTACAACATGGCTAGCCGGTATGACTAACAGCAATTTATACTGAGGGCAGAACGGGAAAATCCTTTCAGAGGGAAATGGTCTGACTGCAAAGGCACAGACCCTGAAAAGTGTATAGACTGGGCTTGTGCTATGTATATGCAAACTAAGATTATTTTTCTTGGTCCTGCTGGACAGCTACAGTGCCCAGTCAGGCCACTTCATCAGATTCAAACCTTTAATTCAAAAGACTTTGAATTAAAAGTCTTTGACAGATTCAAAGGCTTTGATATCAGATATGAGATTTTGTGGTTAAACAAAAACTAGTAATTTCTTGAAAGGCAAAAATCCAAACAGTACCTTTTCCTTCTGACAGTTAACTTTCAGTTGGTTACAAGACTATGAATAGAAATGTATTTCTTATATACAATGCTAAAAAAAAAAATATCAATTTATTATGCTTGCCCACGTAACACTACTGTAGTTGTAGGACTGAATGAGAAGTACTATGTGGTACTAATAAAGATCCACATTGTTTTATGCAATTCTTATTCTTCAGAAAGTACACGTACACTTAGTTTCTCTTTTAGGACTAGTTTAGAAATGCTAATACAGTATTAGTGATGTCAATATATGTGGAATATGCAACAATTCTTGTCTGAAAAGATAAAAACTCTGCCATACAAAGGAAACACTTTTAAAGAATGCAATGATATTTTCAGCTGGGATATTGAGAAGAGCCAGTCAACAATATTCATCTTTGTGATATGGTTGTTCCAACAGAGCTACATTGGTTTCTTATTTGTGACCTGTTGAGTGCGTGATGAAGACAAAGGGTGGAGATAGCCAAGTTAAATAATACTTCTAGGTGACAGCATCCTCAAATATACAACAGAAACACTGCAGTAAGTGATGTACCGCTGGCAGGAAGCCTAGACAAATAAGTTAAATAATGCATTACAAAAAAAGTGTTCCATGTTAACTAACAACTTCAGGTTGCCAGAAAACTCATCTTATTGATACGTTTCATCTGAATGCAAAGTTGACTTTAATAGTATTGTAGAAATCCTACCTTTGCCACCTACATTCCTTGCATTGGTACATAATGGCCAATGTATCATTTACTGCACAAAACTGGGCAACTGTAAGATGGACATTGAAAGACATCACATAATGACAGCATATGTATTTATTTACAGTGTAAACCACCACTCTTCACAATCTCACCTCATTTGGTATAATCTGGTCATGAATCAGAACAATCCTTTTGGCCCCACCTTCATTTTCTCTGTGATTCCATGAACATTCCACTCACATTAGCCAATTTTAGATTCAAACCAAGGTGAAAGCTGCCTAGTTCAAAATCTATCCTACCACTTGCTTCTTTGACTGTTTCTTACTTGTGAATCCTCCTCAAGACTGAGAATGACTGCATATCTCAGGTACTCTACCATTTGTTCAATGGAACTTGTCCTTGAAACCAACAGATCAGAGGGTGGGTTGGTAAAAGTTATTTAATGCACAATCTTTTATTTTAGACATCAAGATTTTCCAGATGAAAACTCAACTCTCGGGTATTATAATGAGACAGTGAGGTAGCATTGTTTGGTCCTACCAGGAGCTACCCCATACTGCAAATAAATCAGTTATTTTCCAGTGTTTTCAGGTTGTTTTCCATTAGTGTTTTGAGATCTCTTTGTACCCCTCAGAATATAAAATATGAAGTTCACATCTACTATTAACTGTGCTCATTAAAGCATGCGTAGCTTTGATATTACATTAGGACGAAACACGAGTAACAATGACAAGCACTAATTAGTCCTCAGAATGTAATTTCTACTAAAAAAAAAGAAAAAAATCATGAAGGAGAGCCAGAGGAAATAAGTGGGATTTCAAAGTAAAGATTCAAAGGATTTCAAACTAGATCATAAAAGTCTACCTGATCATTTCCTACTGGAATAACTCTTCCTGATAATCAGTTTCAGAAACATTAATAAACCAATAACATGATAAAGTAATTTTTTTTTAAATATTTTTATTACTTTTACACTTTCGGAGGCCTGTTATTCAAAGATGTAACTCACTGCCTCCTAAAAATGAAGCCTCTTCAAAATCTCCCTTCTCCCCTGCACATACTCAGAAATGGGGTAAAAAAAATGACGCAGTTGCCTCAATTGCATTGCATACTGATTCCCAATGAAAGGATTAATAGCATAGTCAAAAAAAAAAAAAAAAACACAAATAAAAACCCCACCAAACCAAAACCAAAAAAACATTTACATCAAAAATCCAACAATCCGACAACATTTGAGAAACTGTCTATCTGTGAAATCACTATTTTCATTTGACAATCGGGCCGGGTTTTCATGTGCATGATTTAGTTAAATGTATGGCTGATACTTCAGTCTCAAGGCTTTTCTTTCTATCACTCCAGCAAGCGCCTTATCACTCAAGAGATGATGATTTGTGGTTATAGTGGGTCGTTCCTCAGGGCGGCCAACAGAGGGAGCCAGGGGAGCGAAGGAGGACGGGCTGCCAGGTAAACCGCGAACGTCTGTGCGTCGTTTTTGGTACCCGTGCTCCACAGTGCCGGCAGACAACTGCTTTTATTTCCTTGTGTGTTTCACGAAGACTGAACTAGTGAAATTCCAGGGGGGGAACAAACAAACAAACAAACAAACACAAAAACCCCACAAACAAACAAAAAAAAAGGGGGGGGGGGGTAACCAAACCAACCAAACAAAAAAATACCCGAGAGAATACTGCCATTACTTTATAACGTGTATGCACATTCTTTTTAATTCCAAGCACTGCTCCAGCCTTTTCATCCACTTTCCTCAAGCTTCAAGTGATTTTTTAGATGTACCTTTTATAATTTTCAACAGATCATTAAAATCTGTTAATTCAATAAAGGGACACCCAACACTGGCAGTGGCTATGTTTAGGACTTCCAAAGAGCTGATGTAAAAAAACATTATAAATAAAACTCACGACAAATCTAGCCCTTCTTTTTCAATGAACTGTTCATAAACAAGCTATTCTCTCCAAACTCAACCTACCTATATCACATCCTGATTTTTTGTCCTTCATTACCCTGTTGCATGACTGTCATTTAAGGTGGATCCTAGTCCTGTTAGACAACACAGTAAGCAGCATAACTGAACAAAAATTCACACCAAAGCTGTGAATTTCTGAAAAAATTCACAGAACTTTCAAACATCATGTCCTGCTGGTATATGTACAGATCCAGAAGGGCAGAATAAATTACACAATTTTTCCAGATACAGCAAAGCTGATCCAGTACTTTGGAAATCATCATTTTACCAGATGTAACCTTAAGGATGCTTTCTTCGGTTAACTACTTCTGCACTTAAAGGGCCCAGAACAAGCTGTCTACATTGACATAGTAACCTATTATATCAGTTAATGTACTTCACTATTCATGTTAGTATCAAATATCCGATGTATAAATATTTTAAAATATTTTCACATATATTTCCAATATACAAACACAGACCAATTCCAGCTAATCATAACTAACGTAAATATAAAATTTATAACTTTATTAACAATATACTCTTTTTTATGGTACATCATGCAAACTAATTAAATCCACATTTTTAGAAAAGTAATCATTTGAGGTTTTGCACCATACAACTTCTTTATTGAATTATTGCAAAGAAATCCTTGTGATATATGGAAAACATGCTTTCTATCTGCATACTTTACCCTGGAACATATCATCTCCTTTGATGACATAAAGACATGAAAATTTTTCACTATAATCATATTTATGCAGAAAGATAACTGTAACATTTGATTTCTCTATTTAAACACATACATTGACACGTATTTTTACAAATGTCTCTGGGGAAGGCTTTGGAAGAAGTCTGCATCAGTTTTAAATGTTACCTTTTATAGTGCAGTGCCACAGGATTACTATTGCATATCATAAATAAATGGCAGTGTTAGCAAATTTTAAATACATATAGCAGAAAAAAGATGTAAATATTATCAAGACAGATCTACAGATAAAAATTCAAGGCCAAGTAAGACACTTAGTGGGAAAGCTAACAATCAATGTAAACTTCAGTGTTTTCTACCAAAATAAAAAAAAAAAACAATATGAAACAAAGAGAGTAAGACTGCATTCCAGTCATTTGGTTTTCGTATTAACCTCAAATACAAAAGAAATCCCCTTGGAAAGCTAATTTGGAAGTAAATACGCCTAAAATGAAACATACAACTTGTATTAATCTCAGAACAGAATCAAGACCACCATTAAAATAAAGACTGGAGCACACTGTTGTGTCTACGATTGGTGGGTGGATTTTAATTGACTTGAAGACTGTCATAGTCCTATTATCATAAAACCTGTAATGCACTTCCAGCATGGAGGACCCATCTGTGCCCACCATCCATCTGTTTAGACATGATTGGCAAAGTGGTAGGGAACGCGCAGTGGTTGCCTGTGCCTGAAAGGGATAAACCACAGGATCTTCCAGTGCGTGCCAAAAACTTCTGAGAAGGTCTGCTGCCATGGCTTTCGGGGCCTCGATCTACAGAAGACAGCATTATTAGTGAAAGACAGCACGCCCACAGTGCACTTCAGTCAGCTAGAACAATGCAGGTTGGCTGGGGATCCAGTACTGGACTCTGATGAATTGTGTCCCAGCATCATAAATGCAGCTTTTCTTTCATTATGGCAGACAGCTGAGACTTAACTTTGGAGAACAGAAACTATCTGTGTCGTCAATCAACCGAAGGCAACTGTTGAAGCAGAGTAGGACCTCTGAATCAATTAAATGTATGTCAAGACACAGCAGAAAGTGTCTTTTGATCTTTACTGCTGAAAGAAAATATAGTTCCACTGGCTTTGGAATGGGACTAATGTGAAGCTACTTTGTGTACAACAAATATTAAAAGATTAGTGAAGTGCTGCTAGAGATAGGAAGTACAGAGCACACCACCACACAAAAATAATCTTAACAAAGTCCCTGCAATTCCTTTTCTCTTTCACACAGTTTAAACCCCAACTACTCCTTTAGCTTTTCAGCAAATAAACGCAGAAATTTTATAGTACTTACATGTCTTCACAACAGTTTGACATTTTTTCTATACTTGTCGTGTCCTGTGGAAGAAAACACAATTAAAAAGTATTTATTTACAATTATTAACTGTTAAAATGTCATTCTGAAAGCAACTAGGTTACGTATTACTCACACACCAGATTAGTTTTAAATAGGTGTGAGATCATACATGCAAATTTACTCTGTTAAATGTTTTTCACAAACACAATATGAAACTACTGTGTGGTTTTACTGTGACAGTACATAGCACAGAATGTCAACAAAAATGTACAGCATTATTACATTCAACATTTACTCAGATATTACAATTAATGGGACATTTAGATGTAATGTGTGTAAGATAGACTCTTGACATACTTTTCACAAGCACTGATTCCAGACATGGAGTAGTCCACTGAGATAACCACAGAAAAATTTAGTAAAAAGCACCTGTTAACAGATGTGGCATTTTTGAAAAGCAGGAGCTATGAAGAAGTTTTAAAATAGTGATTTTTATGAGTATTCCAATGCAAACAGCACCACTAGGAATATACCATCAGTTTCCGCAGTCACTACAGGCAATTGCCAAATACAAAAATTATTCTCTTAAAATGTAACAAAAACTAAATATGCAGAGTGAATGCATCCCTGAAGCAAACAGTAAATTAAATTCATACTTTTCTGATTATCAGTCACAAAGTTTTATAATTTAAAAAAAATTAAGCTTAGATCACCCCCAAATACAGCTTTTAAAACTACCAACAATAGTACTTTTTCTCACTTTTGCACTACACAATTAACAAAAAAGCCAGTTTTGGTTGTTGTTTTTTTTTTTTTTTTGTTAAATTCCAGCATTATTAGGATTTTCAATGCACATTCATAGCTCATTCTGTTCCAAAATCCCTCATGAGGTCCAAAATTCAATAACCGAAATATTTCTCATGGTTCCATCTCTTTTTTACAGCAGCTTGACATTTCCCTTTACTGTTCATTGATTTAGGCATGCACATAATGCACCTGTCAGATTACACTAGCATCTGAATGAAACCAAGAACTAGTCTCCATTGTCCCAGCTATACAAACACACAAGGGCTGTGGTTTAATTAGGCTGCAACTTCATTGTCATCTGGAAACCAAGAACTAGCAATAAAACCATACTGTGTTCCTTGATTGTTCCTGCCATCAGTGCGTCCAATTCAGAGCAGGCACTGCTGGGATTCTGCCACCATCTTTCATAAAGCTTTGAAGAGGAAGGGTGAAATATGAGTGGGAATAAAATGAAGAAGCTTCACCAGATACAGGTGGCCTCAACTTCCCTTGTCAACTTTTGTCTTTCTAAATCTGCTTCCCAGCTCTGATGAGTTTTGGAAGAGGATCCTTTACCATATGCTAAATGGCAAAAAATCTTAATTGTGCTCATGATCTACCTAGCTGAATTCCAGATGCTCTATGGCAAACGAGAAGTTCCCTCTTCTCACGTATACCTGTGCATCGTGGTGACAATGCACAGGTTTTTCCCTGTTAGTGTAGAGAAGGCACGCTCACAGCAGACTACATAAACTGTTCTGGCCCATGATTAGTCAGATTTGAACAACCGCTCCATAGTGAGAGAGGATAAGACTGGAGACAGAAGAATGTAAATACTGTCTGTTGTTTTGATTCCCGCAGATAAACTCCTTCTTTCCACTGTATGGGCTTGCCTAGCATACCCCTCCTCACCTGAGGAGACTGAGCTCTCCTTGGCTAAGGGAACAGCCAAGGGATATTCTACTTCCTTGGGCTGGCTGTTTTCCTAACTCCTGCCAGAACAAATACCACCTTTTCTGACCACAGAAATCCTCACACAGCTTTCTGAATAAAAAGGACTAAGTAAACACAGGTATTGCTTCCACAACATTTCAGTGAGGCTACAGTATCATCTTCATGAGATGCACCTTCTGTAACTGCAGAAATATCTCAGCTCTACAAACTATCATCGCTATCAACGCAAAGGTGTCTAACTGTTACTAGAAAATAAAATTAACTTTGGTCTGTTTGAAACCAATGATTGCTAAAATGTTTGTACAACAGCAACATGCTAGTCCAGACTATAATTGATTTCTAGCTGTCAAAGATTTATGCTATCATTTCACTAAAGGAACCCTAAAGTAGCTTTGGGTTCAGAAGTAACACAATAAAACAACACCTTAAATCTGGCTTTTTGCCATGTTTCTTCACACTGTTTATTCATGAACATATTCATACAGCTCTTTAAATAATATATTTGAGATTTTTTTAAGAATTCCCAGGTTGAGAACTGGGGATTGTAATTCTTTTTAATTGTTATCATGGCATGTTATCATGACCTGGAAGATGCTCATGAAGGTTTCTCCCCCTCAAAATGTAACCCATTAAATTAATGATCTAAGTGAAAGCACCAAAACAGGAAGTGCGGAACATGACTGAAGAAAAGACTGTCAAGCTTTCACACTTTTAAAACACACTAGGGATATGGAAGTTGGATAGGAAGTCAAAGGAAATCCTTCCTTCTTTCCTTCTCTCCCTCCTTCCCTCTTCCCCTTTCCCAACATCTACTTTAGAATACTTTAAAGGAATTAGGACTGAGCAGTAAACCCTTTGATTCTGGGATACTTTTTCAGAATTAACAAAAACTTTATAGCCACATTTTAAAAGCTGTGAACTATGGCTGTGAATCAAATTCCCCTAACAGCTTCCCTCTGCCAACACTGCTGCCAAATAGTTGGGGTCATTTGAAATGTACTTGCATTTGAGAGTGAACTAATTTACCTTTTCATATGAAAGTGAAACTTCACGGCACCCCAAGAAACTTGGTAGCCCCTCTAGAGACAAGAAAGGATGGAAAGGGAGAGGACCCCAGTTGAGTTTCGGCCTGTTATTTAAGGCTTTCTTCTCAGACAGACAATTTCTATTTCTTTCAGAGACTGGAGGATTAGAATAATCTTATCACTCTTCTGAATGACAAGGTGTTCCTCTGTTCATTAACATATCTCACAGTGGCTTTCAACCAGAATACCACCTCTCTTAATTATGCATTTGATGTATACCCTGGTTTTGTTACATCAGTGTTACAGCCTAAGAGGCTTTGGCTGTCTGCATCTACTATCATCTTGGATTACTATTATCACAAATAGAACTCTGCTAAGATTCCCTCCCTGTTCCCTTACACTGATGTTAAAAATCTTTTGGAGAACTAGCAATCATCTGAAAGTTTAAAATAAACTGCTATGAGCAAACATGGCATATCTATTGAGTCTAGTAACCTCTATCTCCACAAAATAAAATTCACCATAAAATTCACAATCGCATACAAGAAAAAACTGACTAACCCATAATTGATTAATTTCACATGACGGGTCATGCGGACCCCTGGAGTGATCATCCAGACTGGAAACAACTATTATTCCTGCACCTAGTTATTCAGATATGTACCTACTGATAAGCATCTTAAAGCAACCAGGAAAAACAAAACTGTACCTTTGTGAGAAAGGCAAAAGAAATTGAAGGAATTAAACATAGCAATAATTAAAACCACATCACTTCAAAACAAGAGGAAAAGGGTATAGGTTTCTGATTCTGCTGAGGGAATGAAGAGTGGCTTTTTGCTTTGAAAACACTGCAAGTCTGCAACAGCAGCTTGTTTAAGGCACAACAGCTAAGATGAGGAATGGAAAGAACTATGTAAGAACACTGACTGCATTCTGCAGGCTAACTTAAGATTCATTTGCAAATAAATGCACCTGCATTCGCTAAAAAGAGGAATATATTTTTCGTAACTATATTTTGAATTAGCATAACCAACTGCTTGAAAAAACAGGCTTTTTATAAGGATCACATGCACTGTTTAACAAGCTGTGCCATAGGATGGGATTCATCATGAACTAATTTATCATAGAGGAAGCACATGGAAAAATATTTTCCTCTTATTGATTCATGGTCTCCAAAGGAGAAGCTATGATTTGTACCTCACAGGACTAACTCCTAAGCACGCAGCCACAATCTTGGGTTTTTCTTCTGTGTTTGCTTAAAGTGACATGTAATCAGTACAGCTCTATTTAATACTTCCAATAGAAGAATGTAAGCATTGTGCCACACTTTCTTAATATAGTATTTTCAAATACTTAGTATATAAGAATCAGCAGGAAAATATGATAAAGTGGAAAGAGGAGAAAAACATACTAACAAAATACTCAAAACTTGCAAGCCTTTCTGGATTTGCAGCCATTGCTTCTACGCTTAAGTGCAAGACAACATATCATCTAGCTGAATAATAAGTTTTTTCATTCCTTCTACCTAACATCCTTTAGTTGTATGTAAATGACAGGTGATCAACTGAAGAATATAAAAATACTGAAAAACACATAGAAAGCATACTTCCTATTTCAGAAATTTTCCCTTTTGACATTAATTACTTTTGGATTTCCACTTTGTCATCTTTTAGCACTGTTTCCTTATATCTAGACAGCTCATATAATTTTATCAATTACAATTATGTTCAGCCTGAAAATTACCAGTTCAGTTTTAACCTTAAGTCCCTAAATCAGAGAATTGTGTGCAAAATAAAAAAGCTAAACTATATTATTTCTAGGAATACTTCCACACTCCTCTGTGCTCTGATGTATGTAGTTGAACAGATTTCCAATGTATTGATCAGGTACTAGAAAATGATTCAAAGAAAACCTCTGATAGTAAATTAGGAACACACCTACAAACAGATCTCTTTTCTTTGTTCTATTTCAAATCCTTAGTGTGTCATGTGCAGACAGCTGCATGACAGCAAGGCATGTGACAAAAGATACTATTTTCCTTGATACTTAAAAATATCTTCTTAGCACAAAAATATTAAAGGAAAAAAAATACTTAGGAAGGCTAGGTGTTGACCTTCCTCACACAGAAGCCATTTTAATGGTCTGATGTCTAAAATGAGACAAGCAACTTTTAAAGAAAATGTAATCAGCACTCAGAACACTCAAATGTTATTATAGTTACTTATTTTCAATTGGTTAAAGGTACTTCCTTTACTATTTAGAAAAATAAGTAAATA